TCCACGAAAGCTTATGCTCTAATAAATTTGTTAGTCTCTAAGGTGCCACAAGTCCTCCTGTTCTTCTTTTTGATCTCCTGGGCTATTCAGCACTATCCTCACACCAAAACACTAAATATGAAATACTGCCATGGCTCATTCAGCACATAGCACTCAAGAGGCAAAGGTGTTGGGAGGCACTACAGCTCCCTTCTAACGTATGCATTTTCTTTCCTGTCCACCACGCAGTCCCTTTGGTCCCACTCAATCACGGCTCTCAGTTGGTGCAACTTTATGTGGCCAGCTGGTGACTTCCTACCCAGAACTGAACAGCCCCAGAGACTGGAGCCTGAACACAGGCAATAAAGCAAGGCTTGCTCTTTTTCAAAATGTGAATATCATCCTTTATTCCCTAGAGGGGAGAACACACTATTAGAGCAAGCTGACTTACTTCCCCACTTATAACAAGGATCTAGCCTCCAGCCCTGCTCATTGACAGGTATATCACTAGGAATTGCAAGCAGCATGAACTAGCAATTGCATCGAGTGAGAACTACACTCTGTGACCTGAAATTGGTAACAATACACTCTGAGGTGCCGAGCTGCCACACAAAATGCAGCTTGTTCTGAGTAGGAAGCTATAAGAGACACCGTGGGAACATTACACAGCACAGTACCCAGAACAGAAATGCCCAGTTAACAAATTTGAAGATGATTTCCCCTCCCCCAACTGCCATAGCACAAAACCAGGAAACTAGAAACCCAGCTGAGCTCAAGGCCTTTCTCAGTCTATCGCATCCTTACATCACCACTACAAATAAAAGAGTCTACAAAGGAAACTTTGCTGACAATTCTGTTGACGATGCATAGGACAAAAATCTCTCTCTCAGCATTAAACTCATTCAACAGGACTAACAAGGCTTTGTTTTGGCAATGACCTAACCAAGCAAGACAAAAGCAGCAGAGAGGATGAGTACCAGAGGACCATTTTTAACTGTCTTTTTTCTGCTTCTATTCTGGGGAGGGTAATCAGCTGAGAATATTAACATCAGGGATTGAAACATCCACTTCCCACAGTTAGAAGGAAATCTTCCCTGGTGAATGTGGGACATTTCTACAGAATTAACTTTCAATTAAAAAAAAAAGAAAGAAATGGAAAGGCAACTTGAGGTTTTGTAAAAATACAATCTATTTTCCATTATATTGCTAGATTTACTTCTCTGGGTTTCCAGACTTCAGTATTA